AATGAAGATAGCCAAATCGCTTCAGGTACCACTTTGTGGCTGATGGCAATATGTCTGTCATAAATTTATGCCTGTTCCTGATATAGAAAGAATTTGTTTATTAGTTAGGGAGCATAAACATAAAACATGCAACAGGAGAAAGAGTATATATAATATGAATGACAGGAACAAATACTTGATACAAAAATTTCAGCTTCTTCCTGGGAAATCCCAGGATATTTTACAACGACATTGTAACCACTTCATCCACCTTGAACAAGGAACTTTCTCCAGTGTGAAATGCGGGAGCCCTTCTGTATCTCAAAATCACCCCACTGACTGCTTAGGGCAAGAGGTGAAAAATAATTACCTTAAAGGCTGGGGAAGACTGGAATAAGAAAGAATATCATTTTCATGGATCTAGAATATGGAATGAGCAGAATTAGAGTTGACACCTTGTATGAGAAGCCCTACGAGATCCCTGACGACCGGGAGGACCAGGACCTCTTTAATCCTCATCTGAAAGACGTCAAGCAGAGTACGTTTTCCCAAGGTACCATTCTGACATTTGGGGTCAATCCTTTCTCCAAGTGAAAAAAAAAAAAGTCACTTGCATAAATGTGACTTCAGTAGCACCTTGACAGTCCCTGGAAGTCATCCAACGGAATGTCAGTTGAATGTGGCTAAGTCACCTTGTTAGACATTCATGGTGCAGGGTTACTAGTTTGTGATGGGGTGCACTTCGCCATAGCTGAGTCTCAGCGCCGGCGAGTGGATGGATGTGGGTGCTTCTCCCAACACAGAAGGGGCTACATGGCCTAAGAACATGGATTTGGAGACAAACACAGTCTAGGTTTATTCTCAGTCCCTCAGTCTGGAAGTTGAGTTCCTTAACTTTTCTGAGTCTCAAGTTTCCCTGTCTATGAAATGGGGATGATCAGACCTTCTTCATACAGTTTTTATAAGGATTAAATGAGATAGGGCTGTTTTAAATACCTGATGATTATTATGTGTTGACTGTCTTGCTTTACCTACTATCCCCCATTAATAGCTTATACCAAATTCTGGGATTTTTTTCAGGACTTTCCTTGAACATTATGCATGATCACTGACACTATTTTCTCCCCGTAGATTTTGTGCAACAGTAAGGAGAATTAAGGTGAATTCATTTCTTAGTCACCTTCACCCTAATGTTCAGTTATCCAGAGGGTGTTATATTACCAAATGTCTGTAAAAATAATAATATGTAATACATAATACGTGATATATAATGTATGATTTCATCTATCTATCTCCTGACATTTTCATGAGAGCACATTTTTCAGCTTCGTTTTTAACTGCATTTTCCTAATGTCCAAAATATCAGCTTTTGTTCCTCTTCTGAAGAAATCTTCTCTCCATGTGACTATGAAATTTTTAAGAGTATTTTATAGGAGGACCATTTGCCTCTTAATCATACTCCTTTCTATGTGCTGTCCTACAGAATAATTCCCACGGATTTACTTCTGAAACTTACATGTGTAGATGAATCTTACTAAACCTGTTAGCCTTCCTCTGGAAAGATATCTTCACCTATAGCGACGTTCTTCAGATAACATTTATAACGTAGGTAGCACCTATATGTAATTGACATCTGGAGAAACGGATTCCTACCTTCTCCATTCCTCTCTTAGATGAGGCGGTTACAAGACCACATCAAAGAGATCAATCATGGCCTCATGGGCCACTGCAAGGCCTTGGCTTTGTCTCTGAGGGACATGGGAAGCCACTGGTGAGTTGTGAGCACTTGAGAGACCTGGTCTGACTTAGTTGTGGTGATAGCACTTTGGTTGCTACATGTGAATAGAAAGTACTAGACCAAAGGCAGAAAAGCAAAGAGAGCAGCTGCGAAAGAGATGGTGGTGATTTGGACCAGGAGGGTAGAGGGAGAGTTGGTGACACGTCCAGATTCCGAGCACATTTTGAAAGTTGAGCCAAAAAGCTGTCCCGGCAGGCTAGATGTGTAGCGTGAGATGAAGCCTGTCAAGGACGATAGCAAGGTTCTTGGCCTGAGCAAACGAATGGATGGAGTTGCTGTGAGAAGAGAGAGGGAAGGGTGTTGGGACAGCTGGTTTATGGTGGTCGAGGAGGGGTTTAGTCTGCTATCTATTAGACATCTCAGTGAGGATGGCAAACGAGCAATTAGACATGCAGTTCTGGACTTCAGGAGTCCAGCCTGGGATAGGAGACTCTTAATATGTGCCCCTTAATATTTGTAAGAGGCTCAGGGCAATGTCAGGCTCCTGGTAAGAAAGTAAGCAATGGTCATAATTAATATAGTTCCTTCTCCTTCTTTGACCGTGTCAGTGAAATTGTCTAATAGAACTGTAATGGTCAAATACTGCCTACTGTATATATCTACCCTTTGAGCTAGCAAACAAAGAACTCTTCAAAGTAATCCTTTCTTACTTTTCAGGTTTATCATGGCCCAGCCCCCACACTACCCTTTGATGGAAATTCTCCATTTTTTTCGTTTCTTTTTTTTTTAAGTTTATTTATTTATTTTTGAGAGGCAGAGAGAGTGTGTGAGAGTAGGGGAGGGGCAGAGAGAGAGGGAGACAGAGAATCCCAAGCAGGTTCTGTGCTGTTAGCACAAGCCCAACATGGGGCCCCATATCACAAACCATGAGCTCATGACCTGAGCCGGAAATTGAGAGTCACATGCTTAACCGACTGAGCCACCCAGGTGCCCCATATTCCCCATTTTTCAAGTGCGTTTTGTGGGAGGGAATTAAATTTCAAAATAAAGATTTAAAAAACCTTTTGTGTGCTACAGTCAGTGTAATTCTGGAAAACGTCCTTTGAGCACAAAATGTTTAGCAGTAGAAGTCATATAGATTGAGGGTGAAGATAGGTGATTCTAGCACTGAAATGAATTTATATTTCAACACATCACCTTGAATAAGTCTCTAATCTCTCACATCCCAGTTTCCTCATCTGTAAAATTGAGACCAGTGGGATTACGGAGAATATGAAATGGGGTAACAAATATAAAGTGCTTTAGCACAATGCCAGACACATGGTAAGTTCTTATAATTTTTAGCTATTATGATGATGGAACTAAGTTGAAACTAAGTTGGAACTAAGATGAAAAAGTTTCCTACGGCTTTTCATTTACTACAGGCTTCTCATTGAATATCTATCTTGGTGTGTCATTCAAAGTCTAGAAAACTTAGTCTAAAGACATTAGGCCACAGAAAGAATAAAGACATTAGAAGCAGAAAAGAGTCTGATCCAACATGTTATTGGCCCCTACATCCCTGGTTTGTCCCCCCACCGCCGCCCACCTACCCAGTAATTAACACACTGAAGGAACTGACTCGAAAGAAACACACTAAACTTATCTTTTCCTTCTTATGTTATTTTAATTGTGCATATTTTGTTTTTAAGCATGGTTCTTTGGGGGAAAACAGAATGTGTCTACTATAGAAAAACACATATTCTTTTTAGGCAAGTAATTTTGGAAGCAAAAGATGGTCCCCGGGGTAAGAAGATGGAAAAGGAATAGTATTAGAAGACAGCACAGAACTAATGCACGTTTTATAGTATAAAAGAAAGATATTTTAGCCTCCTTGCCTAAAACAACATCGTGAACTCTAAGTTATGCTGAATTGTTGAATAGAATAAAAAGGAAGCAGCTACAATATGACTGCTCAGAGTGAAAGTCAATAGTCAGCTCCTAGGGAGCATCCCGAGACAGCAGAAAACTCTTGCACTCATGACACACAGAGGCTTAATTGGTCCTCCCATGGTTTGGAAGAAAGGCCTTGAAAATACTTGTGACCTCTTAGAAGCAGATTTATAGACATATGATAGTGCTTTAATCCTTGCATCCTGGAATAGCCAAGGTAATAGAATATCAGTGGATAAAAGCCTAGTAAGACAATGATCATCTGATAAATCCCACTCTGCACCAGGCCAGTTTGGGATCTCAATCACTTCCATAATCTACATCCTTACCACCCTTCACACAATGTCTAATGGGGTGCACTTTTCCCCTCACATTTTTTCTATATTGTCTCCTGAAGAACAAATCCTTCCTCCCTTCCCTACCTCCCTTCCTTCCCTCCCTTCCCTCCTCCCTCCCTTCCTCCCTCCCTTCCTTCCTTCCTTCCTTCCTTCCTTCCTTCCTTCCTTCCTTCCTTAGTTTTCCATGTGTTTGAATCTCTACCATGGTATTTTGGGGGTTGACCTAATGCATCCCTTTTTACTTATTATAATCTAAATTTCTCGAGATAATCTACTCTTGCTCTGGACTCTGCTCTCCTGTCTGTAGCCTGTGTTTATCTCCCATACCTCTCCTTTCCCATTCATTTACACAGTCTTACATCACAAGATAGTGTTATTCTTACTATGATCGCTAAAGAAATGAGAAGACATCCATAAAGATTATCACAAAATAATAAATTCTATTTAAAAATAGGTACACCAGAACACAAATAAATATCTGTAGGAATTTTGCCCCCCTTTTTAAAAAGAAGCAATGACATCCACAAAGGCCTTGGAATTAACTTTGGAACCACCTTATTATCTTCATAAGAAAATCTCCTTACCTTAGCTTCATGTTTTACGCAGATTAGTATTACTCACCTAGTTCACCAGACTGATGCCAAGTTCCGTTTGATAGTTTCCACAGCTCACAGCTGTTCCGCTGCTATGAAGGATTTCCAAAAGAATACGGAACATATCCTGAAGACAGTTCTGAAGGAGAATTGCAAGATTGTTTTTGAGTAATGGCAACATAATTAACATGTCTATAGTTCCCAAGCACTTTAGAAGGGAAACTCCCTTTTAGATACGGTAAATTCCCTTATTTCTGGTAACAAGTTGAACTTACTATTTTACAGTCACATCATAAGAGCGGACTCAAACTTCTGTTACTTTAATTGTGTTCCAGTACATGGTGTACTTAAAACTTTTAATCTGTATATGTGGAAAATATGCTCTTGATAATTACACTGAGTCTGTCTTATTGTCTCTAGGACTATACTTGATAAAAAGGAACTCCTGGAGTTTGCTCAACTTGGCTGTTACTTGGAATATGATCTCTTTGGGACTGAACTCCTTCATTACCAATTCAACCCGGATATCGACATGCCCAATGATAATAAAAGAATTAGGAGGTAAATATGATGAAATCCCTGATAGTGTTCCCTTTTACCAGTCCTTTTTGATTCATATCTGGGTAGGTATTAGCAAAGATTCGGAAAACAGTGAGCAGGCAGAACCAGAGACTTGCAGAAAAAAATGTATCAATGCTGTTTTGGGGAGAGAAATCTCTATATATTATTTCAAGAAGCAAATGAGTCATCCTAAGTAGGCAAAAGCTTAGCAGAGCCTTAGGAGTTCAGTGCAGATGGGCAGCTGACAAGAAACAGATAATACTTAACCCCTGCCATGACAAAAAGAGAACAAAGATGCTTTCGTCTTTCTATCCCTAATGAAGTAAGTGGTTTCTTTCCCATGTTGACCACACTGAAGTCCTAACCTCCTACAACGTGTGTGTGAAATGCTTTATCAAAAATATTCACTATGGAGATGATTGAAACTTAAATGCTGTAAGTAGAATGTCTAAAGACCAAACTCATATAGAATTTGACCCCTCAAAATTGCCGAAGCAACAAATTGTCCAAGTCATTCTCTGTAACCAAGTGGAAAGTTTCTGGAGTCAAGGATGGATGGTTACCTGGTTTGTCCTGGTTACACGGTGATGTGAACATTGGATGCACCAAGTTAGGGAATCTGGGAGAAGAAACAGATTTGGGATTGACAAGGATGACTTTGGTTTGGGAATAATCTAAGAGTAGCTATCCAGTGGGGCTGTGGATAAGGCTGTGAGGCTCAGGGCAGAGATCTGGACTCAGACATAAATCTAGGCATCTTCGGTTTGTATGTCATGGTTGGCAGCGTGGGAATGAGTGAGATCACTCAGAGGAGAGAATGAGGACAGAACTCTAGGGAACAATGATATTTAAGGAATGGACTCAGGAAGAGTCACTCAAGGACAGATCGAAAAGTTTTCAAAGTGAGAAGAGAATCAGGGAAATATGTTGTTGTGCAAGTAGGTGCAGGAGACTGGAGCAGAAGGGCTTGGGCAACTGACAGGTGGCCAGCATCAGTGAGGTAAAGGCTGGAGATTCTCACTGTGCAGTCAGTGAAGTCTCCGTAGAAAAGTCTTGAAGAATGAGTAGGGGGTAAGGAAGAGGAGAGAGAAGGTGGGGTTACTCTTTCAAGAAGCTTGGTGGTCAGGGGAAGCAGGGGCATAGGGTCAAAGTGAGAAGACAAGATAGGATCAAGGGAAGGTTTTGTCAAGGGTCCAGCAATGTTTGGGGCACCTGGGTGCCTCAGTCAGTTGAACATCCGACTCTTGATTTCGGCTCAGGTCATGATCCCAGGATCATGGCTGGCCTCTACTCTGAGTGTGGAGCCTACTTAAGAGACTTTCTCTCTCTCCCTCTGCCCTTTTTCCCCATTCACTCTTTCTCTCTCTCTCTCAAACTAACGAAGGGTTAAGCAATGTTTATGTGGCTGAGAGCAAAAGCAGAGACACAAAGAGAACAAATCGCAGGAAGAAGTACCTCTTCTATAGGGTTATGGAATTTATATGAAATAAAGTATGAAGAGTTTTTTCCTGAATGTCTGGTGCAGAATATGAAAATAGTCGATCGACACTAACTTAAAACAATCTGGAGAGAGGAGATATAGAGCAAGCTTTCCAAGGAGACAAACAGATGGCAGCTGGGAAGCAAACAGAAAGTTGGTTGAAAGGTGTAAGGCGAGTAATGGGGTGAATGCAGATAGATGTGGTGAGAATGGGAAACCGAGGACATATGACCACCTGTGTTCTGTAGGGTCCCTGTGAAGTCAACATGGTTATCTTCTGCGAAGGAGGGAACAGATTCAGGGCAGGACCTTGTAGAAGAGGAGGAAGGCTGGGAATGGACACTGAGTGAATGAGACAGATACTGATAGGACACGGTGTGTGTGAGACCCCGGTGAGGCTCAAGATCATGTCTGCACGACCGAACATGGGCACCAGTGCACATGACTTGGTGATTTTCCGCACCCCCCCAAAAGTTTTGTATTTTGATAATAAGACCAAAGAAGCTTTGAGGAGAAGCAGAAAACGTGAACAGTTAGAGAGACTGAGGGTTGGGATTCTGTCTGAAAAATGTGGTCGACAGGGGATCTGGGGTGGGGTTGAGTGAGGGTCCTGAGGTCCAAGATGAACAGTAGAAGGTATAGAGAAAAGTAAGAAGAGGTGGGAATAACATAGCAGCGGCAACCGATCAGAAGCTTGAGTGAGGGGGGAAAGTACCCAGAAGACAGTGAGGGAAAAAGAGAAATGTGACTCGTGGTCGGGGCGGGAGAGTGAAAATTGGGATTTCAGAGAGGAAGTAGTCTTCTGGGACAGAGACGGGCCAGAATGTGGTTAAGGGCGTAGAAAACTGTGTGGGCTACAAGTAAAGACACCTGACCTACAGAAGTGATGTCCAGAAACGGAGGCTAAAGCAGCAACGGTAGGACATACCCCCACACTGGAATTGAGGGGAAGGTCTGTGGCCACGGTCGGGGACAGCCCTCAGCTCTTAGCGTGGGTGGCCAACCTTTACACCTGTGTGCCTTCTGTTGTCCCTGCGTATGGGTACTCCTCCTTCATGACCTCACTAACAGTAAAATAGGCTTCAAGTTCAATATCATCAGGGAGAGCTAGCTGATCCATGTAACGCTTGCTATGTAAATATGGAGATGCTCAGCTGTACAGGAGCAAGCTGACCTGACCCATGAAGCTAGGACTTAAAACAAATTTTTTTAAACCACTGAAATCAGTTCTTTAATACACCAATTTATCGTTCCGTTTTTGTTGTTGTTAATTTTGCGTCAGGATTTTACCTAACTTTCTTAGGAGCACCATTCAGTACAGGTAGACAAGTTACCCCAGGGCCCTTCGAGCCTGGGCCATGCTGTGAGGTGAATATTCTTTGGGATTTAAAGTGGGGGCGTAGGGTATGGCTTTCTCATCTTTCATGATCTCCAAACCCTGTTTCCTGATGAATGCCCTCAACATACATTTTACGATTCATCTTGGAAATGGGAAGTTTGCTTCTAAGACCCGCTTCCTTTTCCTAAGCCCCTTTGTGGCAGTGAGCTGTATCTTTTATATCTTCTGAAGCAACCCTACGCCACCCACGCGGCTCCCAGACCTTGACTAAGAGAGAGGGGATCGGCAGAGGGGGTCTGAAGGATATACGGGGGGAGGATGACCAGCACCTCTCCTCATATTCCTCCTTGATAACTTCTGGCTATTAATTCAAGAACAAGAATTTAATTTTGGCCAGCTCTCATTGAGCCAAATGTAAACATTCTAGATGTCTGGAAATACATCAAAATATATATGCGGTATATGCGTGTTCATGTATATGTATGTATGCTTTATCTTCCCTAAATTAAAATCACGCATAAGGTCACTTGGCTCAAGCACAATTCACGGTAATTACCGGATGACCTTTAGGCAGGGGGTGTGTTCCAGCACCCACCCTGGTCCGCCATCTCTTGGGCACTTGATTTTCATCATCCATTGGCAGTCCCTTTCTGAGCCTTAGTCATCTTACATCTCTGAACTGCAAGAACATAGAAGCACGCTTCTGCCTACCTCTGGTTTTCAGCCCCAGAAATTCTGTGTCTGACACCTGTTTTCAATCTTACGCTCCATTTCTCAAATCTTATTATATCTCTGCCTTTTCACACTTTGTAGTCTCTCTCTAATATTTGTTTGCAAAACACTAACTCATTTGTATTTCTATAATTACTGTCATTTTTGTCTTCTCATCTACAGTGGTTCCTTCCTTCTGGCAGCGTCTCGGAACTACTGTTCTTCCACACAATGGCACAGCATGAGAGAGGAGCTTTTATTTTAAGACTGGCCAAGTCATATCTTGATTTGATAGTCAGGAGAGAACGGTTTTGTAGAGTCATAGCAGTGTCTTTGTCGTGAGGTAGCTAGTCTCTACGTTCTTGACTTAAATCAGTTCTAAGGATTCTCAGTTTTAAGCGAGTGTCTTAGCCATTATACTCCTCCCTTGCTACTTCACAATTGAGTAGCAGTGTTGCAGGAACAACAACAAGGATCTGCTGTTCCATACGATATGCCTCTGACATAATACGATATCGCTTTTTTTCCTCAGACAAGGGAAAGAGACAAAAACTTCTGGGAAATGCTCAGAGACGATAAGGAGGAAGGCATACCCTAAAATTTCCCATAACGTGACACTCCTTCTCAGTTGTGGATTAAGGGTTGCCACGCTAAGTTTCAGCGTGGGCATGCATTCTGTCAAATCTTTCTCTCTTCTCATAAATGACCCTAGAACTTTCTAGGGAATTGCCTCAAAGACAGTTCCAAAAGTAACTTCAGGTCAGAGCTTTTGGACATTGTACAGATTTACGAGGTAAATATCCACGGTGGCTCAAACAGCATCCAAGTACTTACAGGACACGCGTATGAATGACATGAATACAGATTTCTAGACAAAAATGCTCGACGTGGCTCTTGTTAGGCACGACCTACGAACACAATGTCTCACCTTCAATTATTATTTTATTTTAAAATGTATGTTCTCAGAGGGCAGAGCTTTGTGTCTGAGGTTTCTGTGCAGTGGCCCAATTTTGCTTTCTTTTAGTAGTTACTAAATATGACTCATGCGCCAGGATGCCAAGAAATGTCACAGACACAAAAAGGATATCTTCTGAATAATTAGCCCTTGGAGGAAGGTGCTGTCTGACCATCTAGATTCATTTGGGAATCCAGAGACTGACATGACCATGAAGAGAACGCCAGGGAAGAGCCATTGTCTCCACTTTGCACCTTCTGCCAGTAGAGTCCTGTGAAGTCATGACAGACACTGCCCAGAGTCCAGACACACACAGATGGTGGCTGTCAGGAGGTGACTCACACTATAGATTACAGCATTTAACAAAGCAAAGAGGATTAGATGTTTAGACAGTAGTTGGAAAGCCCTTCTCCAGTCAACTGGCTATAAATTTAAAGGAACGGCTTGGTATTTACAGCAATCTTGTTGAGATAGAAGGAAGACAGAGTAAATTTGTACTGGTTGATTTAACACAGTGCTCCAAGACTACTACTACTAAGTCAGAATTCTCGTAGACTTCAAAGGAACAGATGCTCAAAATACAGAGGTACCCTTCCTGATCTTTTGAAAATGACCATTTCGCTTATCATATGCCCCTTCCTTTCAAATCAACTGATCTGACTCTCAGAATGTTTTACCTTTGCGAAGTTTCCTTTTGCTTCCCTGTTTTAATCAGAAATTGCCATTGATTTTATTTGCTAGAAAATAAGAGAGAGAGAGAGAGAGAGAGAGAGAGAGAGAGAGAGACGGGGCGGGAGGAGAGTGAGGTCTGGAAAATGGGACCACCGAGGGAGGTATTTTAGAGTGAAGATCTGGATACAAACCTAGAACGAAGTTATTTCGTGAAATGCCCAAGCAGCCATTCACTCAGACTGGCACATCCTATTAGAACTATTTTTAATGCCGTATTGTAGGCACTGTCATAAATATCACAGGCTGGAAGTTTCTGTGTGCATGGAATAAGGATCATGTTCCTACTACGATGCAATATTACCTTTATCATCACCACGCAATCTTTATTAAGGGTCTCCCAGTACACATGCCATAGAAGAAGGCAGTATCTCTACAGCAAGCACAATAGATTTATGAGTAAAAAGTTGAAAGCACCCTGATCATTTTAAATGTGAGACAAATGCCATATAATGAGTTGACATTTTTCACAGAGTGCGTCTTCTGGTGGATGAAGGCTACGAAGATCGAATTCTGATGGCACACGACATACATACGAAGCATCGGCTGATGAAGTATGGAGGTCACGGCTACTCTCATATACTTACCAACATTGTTCCTAAAATGTTGCTTAGAGGGATCACTGAGAATGCACTTGATAAGATACTAATAGAGAACCCTAAGCAATGGCTAACTTTCAAGTAGGATGGTTGTTTACAGACTCACACCTTGAGTAGAAAGCTCACAGAGAACATTTTTCAGTGATTTCAAACCCACAGTGAGATACTAATCAGAGCTACGTAGGACGAATGACGGATCATTTCCTATTTATGAGAATTAGAAATTTTGCCTTCTCAGAAACCAGCTGGTACATCGGTACCTTTAGGAAGTTACTGACCTAACGGAGCCCTCTTGTTCTGCCTTTGACAAAATAAATACAGAAGCACCTATTTCCAAACAGTGATTTACATTCTGTATCCCCTCTAGCAAAGTTTTGCTTTGTTTTGTTTTCTTAATCTATCAGCTGCACTACTTGAGGAAATTTAAAGTGTTTCTAGTTAAATTACCCCCTTCTGGAGCAATCTAATGTTTCTTGTAATATTGATGATCCTACTAATTATCCTGCTGTTCTTTAATTAATGCTTAATGAATAATATGGCACTTGAAAATAGCTTCTGCAGCAAGGGAAGTTAAAGTTTGAGGCTTTTCCCCCCCAAAGGACACTGTAATACAATCACCAATTCACAATGATAAAAATATTGTCGAAGCTTAGTTATATTCATTATATATTGTAGAAGTTGTCTACCTATCTATATTGACTGGTAATAAATCAGTTTTGTTGCCTGTGGCTTCCTGGTATCCATTTTTGCTGTAAAGCTTTGTCAGTTTAAACATTTGTATAAGGGGGCATGAACACATAATACTGAATTATAAAAATTCAATGGTAAAAGTCAAAATATATTACATAATATAGTTTAATGAATCATTACATTTATAATAACAAAGGCCACAGTTTAATTAATAATATATATGCAAAAAAAGAGAAATGTTTGCCATATATATATTCCCTTTATTTCCCTTACCTTTTATTTGTTTTTCCTTGGGCCTAAACAGAGAAAATGATGCTTAGTTATCTGAAGAAAAGGTCAGATCTATTAGAAATGGCATTCTGACTCGAGCCTACTCTTCAAAAGGTACCCACCCCCGATGTTTTGTGTAAATAAAGCCTTTTTAAAACTCTTAGTTGATGTGCACTGCTGTTTATAAATTAATCTTTTGGTTGATTCCTCATTATGCTATTTGTTACAAACAAAAACAAAAACAAAAACCCCCAAAAACTCCAAACTCCAGCTACCAATTCCTCTTTGATAAATATATGTCGTTCAATAGAAATAAATTCGTTGAAACCCCATTATCAGTTATCTAACATATTAGAAAGGCCAAATAGAATTAGTCATTATTCCTGATGGGTGGGCTAAGCATTTTTGATCATAGACATCATGACAGTGACTCCGACCAAGGCATTTAAACTAAGCAAACAGCACCTTCAGATGGGAACATCATGCATAACTCTTTCGGAAAGTTGAGGTTTACGAAACACAAGATATTTCCGTGGCTCAAAGATGATCACGCTTTCTGTGTATTAGAACATAAAGTACCCAAGAGGAACGAGCCGGGGGAACAAACTAATTCCTTTAAATGAAAAAATGCAAATGTCCTTCACCAGTAAAACAAGCAGATTTTTAAATCCCTGTTTTTGAAATCTACTTGTCAGAGTCTTCAAAGGCAACCGAGGAGGTGGGGGGGCGGGGAGGGCGGGGTGGGGACAGATTTTTCATCGTAACGGTGGAAGTTGTCCGATAGGGAGGATATATCAACATGCATTTTTAATCTTTTTCTTAGATTAAAGAGATGGCTTTTGGCAGTGTATTTTAACCAGAGAGAAATGATTTGCACTACTCTCAGAATCTACTTTACTGTCAGCTTTAATCCACCTGAGAAAAAAGAAAAAAGTGATCATTCAAATGCATATCATTCATAGACATTGCAAAAAAGAGCCACCCGTTTCTGCAGTCCTAATATTAACAGTCTGACACAGAATGCGGTGGGAATATTGATTGGCATATGGTAATAAAGAAGCCGTAGGCTTAATTTACAGACATGTGACGGATAGGGCATTTTAACCTAATAAACTTTACGTTTCTGGGTAGCTCTTAAAAGAGAAGCCATTTCAATTGTTTTGCTATTCCATACACTTTTGTAATCCAAAATATATTTCGATCCAAAATAAGTCAAATAATTTTTGCGTGTTTGTGTGTATATATACACATACTTTTTTAGATTAAATTTTTGAGGCTATACAGCCACTGTGCCTGTGGTCTGAAGCCATATATATATTATACTTCCTCTAACATATGTGTGTGTGTGCATGTACACACAAATACATGTATTTGTAGCAGATACTGGTATAAAATATATACACTTTGTTGTCATATTGGTTATACGTGAAATTATTCCTTTTGAAATAACCTCAGGCCAGGACTTGTAGTAACTATTTGAAGGCCTTACTTAGTGTCCCCTTGGTGACCCATGCAGTAGCTCAAATTAAACCTTTGTGCATTGGGTTTATGAATAATCTTTTGTTCCAAAGAAAGCAAAAGCCTCAGTCTGATTTAACACCAAAGAATAAATTTCTCTGACTTTCTAAGTAAATCTAAACGCATTCTATTGACAAAATGGACACACAGGGGATTTTCTAAATACCACACATAATTACACGTTTGCACACTTAGAGGGTAATCCTATGATACAATTTCGATCTCCATTTTTAAAAGATAATCACCAGAAAGGAGAGAAAAGAAAATTCACAAGAAAAAGGAAATGTGAAAATGATCATAGGCTTGGGAATTCCCTCAAATCCAGAAAATTCCAGGTTAAGGCTTGAAGTTGAATCATTCCCAGGACTAGCTCTAAAGTTAACAAAAGTACAAGGCAAACAATTTCTTTGGGGACAAGCAGCATTATTTCAATTAGACCTTCTCCGGCAGGGTAAGATCATTCTCCCCACACTATGAATGGACTCCAAGTATCATCAGAAGCAGGTAAACTCACAAGAACCAAAGCTGATATATGGATCAAAGCAGCAGGGTCACAGAACACCAAAGTATCATAGATATTGGAGAAATAATTCAGTGTCTTAGATTTTTCTATAAAAATTTGTGATCTATATAGGACTTCATTCACATGGACACTAACAATAAGGAGGAGAATTTGCTTTGGCGGTAATGGATAACACATCTGCTTATCTTGCTTTTAATTTTTTTTTTTTTTTTTTTTTTTTTTTTTTTTTTTTTTTTTTTTTTTTTTTTTTTTTTTACAGAATGTTTCTGAGTATACAGATGTGAGTCAGGTAGCATTTGAATTCCCCACATATACACAACTGAGGTGCCCCGCAACTGGCATCCCCTGGGATCCTTGATTCAGTGACGTCAGCCATACGAATCCAGTGTCCAAACTCAGAATAATAAGCTTAGTTTCTGCGTTATCAGTCCGCATAAATAATAAATCCAGAAAATGTGCTGTATTTGTTGTTATTTCCTCCGTGTGCTTTCCCGCCATCTAGTTTGATGTAGACTTCATCTCCTGGCTCCAAATGAAGAACCACACTGTTACTGGCATAATCATAATTCTGATCGGCGTCTTGGGCAATGGCACTGGCACGCACCTATGTGAAACAAACAAGAATTAGAATGCGTGGAAGAAAATTCTCCAGTATTCTCTCTCTCTCTCTCTCTCTCTCTTTTTTCATCCATTCACAGCACGGTAAGCAGACTTGCTGCCATAGCACAGAATTTAGCATGAGAGAGTCCACCTGGGCCTTGGAGCTCTTTGAGGAGATCTTTGCAACAGTTCGAGCTCTATCCCTGGAAAGGAGGAACAGAAAGAAGAAAATGGTGCTTTCCTGAGGGTCACGGCAGCCGTCTTTTCTTACCTTACGTGGTAAAAACAATGCACACCAACCTATTCTCTTCCTAAATCAGCACTTTTTCTAATTCCTTGAACCTCTACGCCCAATCACTTCTTGGAATGGAAATAAGGGTAATTTTTTTGCATTTCAATTCAGACCAAATAGCAATAATCTAAACCAGCTGTTTATGAGTACAGAGGTTTAATCCAAACTTCAGCGGGTCCCCAGGATTTTCAGAAAATCGAGATCCACAGGCAGTTGAGATTCAGAGAAATAAAACAACTCCAGCGCTACTACATAGGGGAAAAAAAATGAAGAAAGCCTTTTGATGTGAGGCTTTCAAAATCTAATTCAAGTAAAGCCTTTTTTTTTTTTTTTTGCCAGAAATCTAACTCACTTAAACGTCACCCAAGTTTGCAGAGTTCATTTTTCTATTTGTGGCTTTTTATTACTTCATTGTGCTGTGTGCACTTAAATAAATTATTTAATTGCCACATATCTAAAAGTTGTAGAAGGAAATAACATTTGAGGCCTCTAAAATTTCTAAAACTTTTTAATGATCTGATTGAATACCCTTTTATATTTAGGTGATTCTAAAATGTGTGGTTTGCTTTGAGGATAGAAGCTGCCTATAATCCTCTCATGTTCAGCCTGTGACATAGACATCCTATCACATTCTCAACTCCGATTAGGCTTCATATTCATTTAGCCATATTTTGATTCTGCCTTGGAAAAAAAAATTTTCCATAGGCAGACTTATATTTGACTTATTTCAGTAAGACATCTTCTACTCTGTGCCTTGTTTCTATTCCATTATAATGGTGCTTCCCTTAATAACAGAGCAAACGATTTAGTGGTTTTGTAAACCTGTGTTATGTAATAATACCTGACTTGGGGTACCGTGTGCTGGCAAAATGAGGGAAACGAGGCACACGTCAAGAATTTCCAGGTGTTTCTTTCAAAATTTAAGTGATAGGTTTTCAAATTAAATTTTCATGGGCTATGTTCTCACATTAATGCTGAAATGTTAAAAAAGGAGAAGGCTCTTTGACACTGCTGAACTTGTGAAGTAATTTGAGTAATATTTTAAAAATTTCTTTCTCTGGATATCGTATAGCAAAAGGAGAAAGGGGCTTAAAGGATTTAGAATTGCTTTAACCCTGGGCTAACTGACACTAATACAGTGAAAGCAATGTACCACGCAATTATGCTCAGAAACACTGACTCAAATGTATACACCGATTCAGCGAGGCGATCTGTGTTGACCATTAAGTAATAATACAATGTAACGTCACAATATTTCCTAGAAATTAATTGTAGGTTTGTAGGAGTTGAATGTTTTGATTCATTAATTTCACCTAGTTATAAATTCCCTGGGGGCGGGGAGGTGGAATCTACGGGGGGGATAGCGCTGTTATGACCTGATGTTTTTCGTAACGTGTGAATTTTTAATGGGTTAGAGAAATTAAAAGACAAATTAGTAATTGGCCATATCAGTAATATATTAATGAATTCACAATCCATAAATATACTATTCAGCTATTATTGATAACCAGACATATTTAGTGCTTTAGGTATTTAATATATGCTCTGCTCTATGGGTGTTGTGCTTTAACACTGTTCTCTATAGAAAGGCATCTGGGAACCAGGACTCATTAAAATCCCTTGATTTAGAGACAATAGTCTTAAATGTAGTTTTTATTCGATAGGGTATAAGCACAGAACCATGTAAATGTGACCATTTTTATTCTGTAGGTACAACCACGGAGACCTGCAAATGCATTACTGTGATCCTACAGACTAGAAGGTTACCCTTATGGTTTTTCACTTCCTTTGTCATGTGACTGCTTTTTAATAAAAGTGATTCTCTTAAGCTATTAAGCTATACTGTAGACCGCAAGACTTTCCCAATTAAATAACTGCCATACTCCAGCACGCTTTGGACAATTTCAGAATGTCTGCTCACCTGATCACGCTCGGAAGGTACAATGGCACTTGAAATTTCAAGCTCTAGTAACCAGCTCGGCGACTTCGAACAATTCTTCCTTTAAGCCATCAAACTACTGAGCAAGGTAATGCATCCACCTTGGAGGCTATTTTCAGGTTCCCAAATGTACACCGATTTCAGCATTTTCTCCGGGAATATGATGCATTCTTTCCTCAGCCCTATGTACCCATTTCTGCCTAAAGGTCCTCTAAAATCTTTTCATATCACAAGTTAACTATTTAGATTCCGCTTCATCTGTAGTGCAGGTTTCACAGCTTTTTAAAATGATGGTATTAATTTGGCATTTTATTAATCTTGCTAATAAATGAATATCAACTCACAGACTGTTGTTTCCAATATATCTCATGTTCCTCCATGCTGTAATCACACATTCTTAGAATAAAAATTGGTCCTGAGTTGTTTTATGGTTCTAATCTGGGGCCAGCTTCAGTGGTTAATACAGTGGCTTGTTACAGGGACATTACAGTGACTGTGCTCACACAGCAATTTTTAAATTCAGGTTTGGCTGCTAAAAGTGTACAAACACATTACAATTATGTTTCCTGTCTCTTTATAAAGCCATTTGAGTCCAACTTTTACCTTTCATATCAACAAATGGTATGGTTAGATTTTAGGTTGATGGTTTCAACGGGGAATATGAGAACTGTAATCCCTTTAGTGGCATATTTGTGAGAATGTAGCAGCCTGTGTGGCTTTAGCATTATCTTATTAGTGAGGGTTTATCATCGGAGACGATATTTATGGTAACATTTGCTAATTTAATTAATTGCTACTGATGCTCCCATAATTTCATTTTCATTGTACTTCTGTGGGATCATAAACAAAAGGTTAAGTGGTGCATCAGGTTAATTTACCGGCCTTTGATGTTTCCATCTGTGATCCTGCATTCAACACAAAGCATAAATAAAATGCTTCCCATATAGTTACGGTCCAGAGGCACTCCTCTATCCTAGAGTGAACTGCATTTTTAGTTTAATTTTTGTGCTTCTCAAATCCACTTAATCCATAGCACATTACACTGACATAGATCTCTGAGTTTCTGTTTTATGAAAACAAATTAGGTCTGCTCAGGGGGGAGACTGCCATGCTAAGAAGTGATCGGACAAGAACATAACTGAAAACCAAGGATAAACTATTTGTTTCATAGTAATAAAATAAATTTCATAAAATAGTTCTCATTTGCAACTCTCTGCAAATCAGACTTTACAAAATAGTCCTGTTCTAGGGATAAAATTCCTTAATGGTAATATTTTAATAGCCATTTTCCAAAAGAGTCCATGTTGAAGTCGAAAATACATTGTGTGGTGCTACATATACATATATTTTTTAATTTCTTGTTGCACACCTTTTGAAGAAGTCACAGCTTAATAATGCCAATGGAGAGCTTGCTACATGATAAGGTCAGCTGGTTTGCCTTATTTTTTTTTTTCCTGATCCTCACAGAATGTGCCTGCTAGGATGATACAAAGGAGCATTCGACTCTCCAAACGATGAAATAATTTTAAAAACAAAATGCAGGTAGCGCATGTATAAGAAATGGTTTTCTTGGAATCAGTACAATATACCTGAGCTCAGCAGTTGAGATAAGAACACTTAAACTAATTCATATGTATCGTTCCCTGATTAGTCATGCAACTGCCATTTCTGGATACTTAAAGATGTGAGTGTTTTTATTCAGTGGCTGATAAAACTTGGTATTGTTCCATTTTAATTAATACCTCTAAAAACAATCCTTCAGCCCGACAGTAATTTCCAGACCTAACCTTTGAGTCAGAAGAGAGCCAATTTGAAAAGAAATGGGTGCCTCATCACTGTCTGCCAAGGGGCTGGTCATAAACCATTCCCTAAAGGCGACAGAATACCTCTATTTGGGTATGGTGAGTCATGCCCTTTTTAGCCATTTACCTATACCTGGCTCACTGCTCTATAAATGATTTTTATTTATCTTAATATTATTTTTGTGCATAATAACTATAATAAACAACCCTGTCAGTGCCGCCTGGTGGCCATTTTCCCTTTTTTGTTGTTGTTGTTTGTTTTGTTTTGTTTTGTTTTGTTTTGTTTTGTTTTACCTGTCCTGTGGGTTCCTTGAGCTTTTTTCATTCCTTTTGAAGTGACGGTGGGAGGAAGGGGGAGGGCAGGATTTTGTGCCCTTCCTTATACATTTAGAGCATTTGTCTCCCACTTTTGAAAAAACTCTGATACTGAATTCGAATTAGGCCTTTGGAATAAATCCTGCCTTAATGCTGCTTAATAGAGACCTGGGTTAGAACGGAAAAGGTCTGATTTCGAGGGGGCGGGTGACCTGAAGCCCAATGAGCCCTCGTTAAATCTAAGTTGGCCACAGCGGGGTTCCCTGGGCCACCCAATAAGCAAAATTAAAGCCAGAGAACCCAGCCCAGACTTCAGGCTGCAGGTTGCAAGGCCTTGCCCGAGTGCGGCTGCTGATTCAGCGCGCGAGCCTCAGGTCTGATTACACTTTTAGGCAGTTACAAATACTATTGTCCTCTTCTGACGGAGAAATTAGACACACTTTGTTTTTGCAGTGACCGCGAATTTCTCAAGCAAACGGTAAAGTGGCCCCGGCATAAAAGTGCCCACCCGTGGCCCTTGTGGCAGAGCCGACCAGCTCAGGAGAATAAGTCCCCGGGGCCCGGGCGCTGCTCTGAGGCTGGTTCACAGTCAAGGCCAAGGCCACTGCCTCTCGAGAGAAGGCGGGGTTGGAAAGACTACCCAGCCGGCGGCCCGGGGCTCCCTGGCGGTGAGGCCCATCGCCCCAGGGCCGGCTCGGCCTCCTGCCCTCCTTGCCCCCTGCCTGTGCGGCCTCCTACCCCAGCCGGTGGAGTTAAGGGCTCTGCGTTTGGGTGCGTGTTTTACGGAGTGCACTCACGAGTCTCAACTTTTTTCTTTTGTCATCAACACTCTTTACTTCTCCCCCTTCTTCTGCTGGGGCTGAAATCTAAACAGGAGTTTGCGTCTTGCATTTGACTATATGCTTGTTTCCGAGGTCTGGGATGCCGCAAGGGCCCTGGCGACCGCAAGTCCCCGGTCCCTCTTCGGCTCGGGACGCCCCACACTTGGACTCGCTCTTTCGGGTCCCTTCTTTCTCCAGCGGGCCCCTTTCTCCCCCGAGTTTGCCACCCCGGCACGCCCACTTCGGGGCTCCCCGCTAGCCGTCCTATTCCAGGCAAAGCCTGAGAGCGACCCTAAGCTGCAGAAGATCCCCCGGCCGAGGGTAGCGTCCCGCTCCGGGCCTCCCGGGGCACAGGCTGCCTAGGGGACCGAGCTCCCAGCTCCCCTGCCCTCGAGGGTCGCTCTCGCACTCGCGCGCACAGCGAGCGCAGGTCCTAGCTTGGGAACCGCCCTCTCCAGGCCTCCGGGCGCCCTCTTAGGCCCGCGACCCCCGCCTCTCCAGGGAGTAACAGCGTCCCCTCGGCTCCACTCCCGGGAGCCCGGCTGCCGCGCCCTTCCTCCGCGGGCTCCCACCCCCATTTCCGGGGTCTCCTCCCTCTTGCCTGCACCTTCCCGCGCTCCCTCCCCGCCCACCCCGCTGCCTGCCGGCACTCACCTGGTTGTTCTTGCAGAGATCAGCCCACATGCTGGTGCCGTCCCCTCCGCGCATCAGGACGTGGTAGGTGAAGAAGTAGATGCCCGGGATAGAGCAGGTGAACTTGCCCGTGGTGGGATCGTAGTGGTTACCGAGGTTGGTGACCACGTCGTCGAACTTGAGCACCTCGTAGCCTTCGTGCTGCCGCTTGAGGCCGGCGTAGAAGGCGATCTTGGGCACCGTGCTGTAGGTGGCGGCGCTGATGGCCCCGGCCGCGTTCAGGCCGGGCGCCCCGGGCGGGCCCGGCAGGCCTTGGCGGCCGGGCTCGCCCTTCTCGCCCGGAGGGCCCACGGGACCCGGCG